GTGTTGGGTTTTCCAGAGCTCTAATTATCAGCTAGATGAATCACTTAGAGCTGACACCACCATCCCCACCCTCAGGAGGCTCTCAGCCAATTCAAAATACAGAATTTTAACAAAGAGGAGGAGGAGGAAGAGAAAGAGAGGAGTAGGAGAGGTAATGAATAGAAAGGAAAGGTGCCAGCCAGAGGAAATGAAAAACGGTCACCAGGACACCAACAGGAGGAGACCGCTGCATCACACACACACACACACACACACACACACACGGTGACATACTCTCCTGCTGGCTCTCCAACTCTGGGCATGCTGGCAGACGGTGCTGCCATAACAAAGTGACACCTGCCACAACAGCATGAGATGGTTGCTTGAGGATGTACCAGCAGATCTGCCTATTACAGAAGGAGAGGAGGAGACCTTCAACCCTGGGGAGCTTCCTCAGGCTCCTGGAACCCAGCGAACCCTTCCTACTGGCTGACTTCTGACTCCTCTTTGTGGCCAAGCCCCTAGACCCAAGGTATGGCAAGTTCCGAGTGCCAGGCCCACACCTGGAGGCTGGGTACCACCGCTGTGAGCAGAGGCACCGCTTATCTTACCCGGTTGCCAGCATCGGGAGCGCTGGGAGGCAGAATACTGTAGTGCGGTAGTAAAGATCATGGAGTTTCAGGCATACAGACCTGAGTTCAAATCCCCACCCTCCTCTTCACTGGCTCTTCGACCTCGAGCAAGTCACCTCGCCTCTCTGGGCCTGTTTGTTCATCTGTAAAATGGGGCTACTAATATAAACCTCCAGGGTTGTTGTAATGATGAAATGAGATGATTCATTCATTCCACAAAGATTTATGGAGTGCCTGCTATGTGCAGAGCACTGAGCTGGATGCTAGAGATCCAGTGGGACCAAACAGACCACGGTTCTGCCCTCCTGGAGCACGTAGAGCCCCTGGCACGGGGCCTGGCACACAGTGAGATTCAACAAGCAGTAGCTATCTGTGATGACCATCTTGGCATTCTGCCATTACCTTAATCACAGGACCTGGCAGATGCCTCCACCTTCCCCCTGAGGAAAGTGGACCTCAGTTTCCTCAACTGTAAAATGACAGAGTTGGATTGGATCAGTGATTCCCAACCTTCTCACCTTGAAAGCTTCTTTTAGTATTTTCCATCCACACGAGCCTCGTATCTGATAAGATTTTGTCTCCCGTACAACCTGCATCAAGTCATTTCTTCCTTTTTATTCATTACAGCCTCGCATTACAGCCATAAGAGCTTGTGGTCAGGAGGAGCAAGCCAGTGTGACCACCACGCAGTTGGTATAACTCCAGCCCGAAGCGGAGACCAAGCTAGCTTGGGTAACCTTCACATACTATGTGCTGTTTCTCTGGGTCCCTCTGGAACACTGATAAGAACTCAAGGGACTCCTGCTGCCCTCAGGGACCCTTCAGTTGGGGATGCCAGACTGGAACTCACTGAACCGGCTGCTCTCCTGCAAGTCCCATCCAGCTGAGAGCTGGAGATGTCACATCACTCGTGTGGCCCCCAAGGAGATGTGAACTTGAAGCCATAGGCCACCCAGCCCTCTTCAGAGCCCTGGGAGTCTCCTCCCAGGAGTCTCCTCCCAAATGAGAGAGCATCCTGTACTCTTCTCTCCAAGGCCTGGAGGGGAGGGAGAGGAGGGGGCATGCCATCCCACCTGAGCACTCAGAATTCCGGGGGGCTCAGTCAGCAACTGGGATCCCCATATCGGTGTATGTGCGGGCTTGAACAAAGGCTGCAGCAACGAGCATAAAACCCAAACTCCGATGGGACGATGACATTTTGAAATATGTTTTTCATCTTTTCCTTGGTGTCCCTCCACCCTTCCCTTGTGCAGGTAGTTAGGATACTCTGCATGCATTACGCCAGGAAACAAATGATACGACAGAATGCAGAGCTCATTTTTTGCTTCTGAATTCCAAGAGGCTTGCCTTCAGGGAGGAACGGAAAGAATTATCTGTGCAGATCCAAGTTTAGAAAACTGTAACAAGGGGGATCTGGGAGACTGAGACTTTAGGGGGTGGTCCCTGAGAATAGAGAAGCTTCTCCTCAGCCTCTGAGCTAGAGGGCATCAGGGCCCGGGAAGCAGGAAGAGTTGTGCTCCTTTTCTTGGTGGAGCACCAAGTAGTAGTAAAACCCTCTGAAGAAACAGCTGTGCGCTGCACTGGGGCAGACGGCGGGGCCTAACTAACCCAAGACCCTAGGAATTTCCTGGGCCTGAGTGGCCTGGAAAAAGTAGAGTAAGAATCTGAATACTGAGAGGGGGATGGGTCAGGAAGGAGCAACTCAGCAGCATCCTGAGCAGGCTGAAGACAGAAAACCAGTACAAAACTAGGACATCTCAGGGGATGCTAGTGTGACTGGACCAGACGCCGTCAGATCAGACTACCCTGCCCAAGCTTTGGCATCTTCAAAGGAAGTGCCCTAGAATTCAACCAATTCTGAGGAAAGTGATGGGGAACTCTGAATTGACTGCAATTAAGTTTCTGTCACTCTGGCTGAGTGAAGCCAAATATGAATTCAGTTGAGTTAGAGAAAATTCAATTTATATTTCTTAACACACCTGAAATTGGAACCAGCTATACTCCTTAACCACAAGGCCCTGTATCATTTGCCTCACCCCCTTCCCATTTCTCCTGCCTCCCTCCCCTCTGTCAACAGTCACAAGGGTATTCTGTTATTGCCCCCAACCCCCAAGCTTTCTCACCTCAGGACCTTTGCACTGGCGATTCCCTCTGCCTTCCCTTGGCTGTTTAAATGATATGCTCCGTCTCAGTTTTTTTTTTTCTTTCTTTCTTTTTCTTTCTTTCTTTTCTTTCTTTCTCTTTTTATTAATTTTTATTAGCGTATAGTTGCTTTACAATGTTATGTTAGTTTCTGCTGTATACCAAAGTCAATCAGCTATATGTATACGTATATTCCCTCTTTTTTGGATTTCCTTCCTATTTAGGTCACCACAGAGCACTGAGTAGAGTTCCCTGTGCTATACAGTAGGTTCTCATTAGTTATCTATTTTATACATAGTAGTGTATATATGTCAATCCCAATCTCCCAATTCATCCCACCCCCCCTTCCCAGTTTAACTTCTTTAGTCCATACTTTCTGAAATAAAACCACCTATTTTCTCTCAAAGGGCCCTGTTTATTTCCTTCATGATGCCTATATGTTTACTTTTGCTAGTCTCCCCCTCCAGAACATCAGCTCCCTGAGAGCAGGACCTCTGTCTCTCTTGATGTTCCCTCAGTAGCTAGCACTGTGACTCAAATTACTTGTGGAATGAATGACCCGTGGCTTGCCATAGTTTGGCGGGCACTGAGCTCCCTCCACCCCTACACCTGGGCCGCTGCCAGCCTTTCCCAGCAATCCAGGACCAGATGCCAAGACCCATAACCTTGGGGCTTGAACACTTAGCTGTGCTCTACCCCAGGGACTCGGCATGAGTATGTCTCAGTGGACCCTGGTTCCCTCCCTCCCACCTGTCCTCCCAGTACCTTGCCTGAGAACCATACAGACCCACTGGCATCTGTACACAACGCTTGTGGAACATGTCCAGAGCCCCTCTTCCCAGCAACCCATGCTAGCCCTACCACTTTGCTCCCTGGCCTGGGGCCTCTTCCTTACTCTGCTCCCGATGTGAAAGCACACCATTTAAAAGCCTCAGACCTAGACCTCTCCTCCATCCTTAGGCCAAACTCCCAGCATGAGACCTCTTCAAGTTTGGGGGCATCTGCAGACACGTGGGAAATGTCTGCAAGGGAGGCTGTGTGCGGACTTCCCTCCAGTTCATCATTTACCGGAAGGGGTGGCTCTCTCCCCACTGGTTTTGAGAACACGGACGTTTCCACAGTGAGGAACCCCTTTCTGTGCCTGCCCTCTGGTTTCTCTTACCAGCAGTCTTCTTCTTGTGCCGCTCCCCTTAACTCTAGCTGTCAAAGGGGCCTGGAAACTCAGAGAAGTGGTTTTCTCCCTGCTAGGACCCAGTGTTCTCTCCGGAAGGCAAAGGGCAGAGTCTAAGTGCCTTCTGGGGCCTCTGGGAAATGAAGTAAATACAATAGGCAGAAGATTCATGGTGGGTGGGTGGGTGTGATAATGCAGATTCTCGGGTTCCAGGTTCTGTTTCAAATCTGGGGAGCCAGGAAGGTGGCTCTTCTAGACACATCTCAGTTGGTTCTGATGAGGTGGTCCAGGGACAACACTTGGACAGACTGGGCTAGAATGTGAACGCAGTGACCGTGGGCTGCCAGCGCCCAAATGAACACTCCTTTCCAATCTCCCTCAGGAAATGATTACCTCCTCTGCTAGATTCTAAGCCCCTCTCCAGAAGGGACCAAAGCTTATTGGACAATGTGTGCTCAGCAGAAGGCCTGGCACGTGGCAGCTGCTGTGGACGTTTGTCTGATGAAGACAAACTCTCTGGTTCCAGAGGACAGAGCCGCTTCTACCGAGATGGTGGCAGGGCTGGTACGGCTGCAAGGCAGCTACAACGAAGGCTGGGGTTCTAACCCCGAGAACGCCTTCTTCCCTGAAGACCCAATGACTCTCAGAATCGGAGCCTGATTTCTTGCTGTGGGATGAGCTCCCACACTTGAGGGGAGGGCCCAGGATTACTCCAGCCTCTCCACCTCAGGAAAGACCAATGAGACTAACAACCTCTTCAACAGGGAATCGGAACAGAAGAGCCGCTTTCCCCCTGACCAGACTGAAGCCCTCTCCTACATTCTCAAGCTTTGCTGCATATTCGTATCACCTGGGAAACTTAAAAAAAAATCCCACTGCCCAGGCCACACCTCATACCAAGTAAATCCAAATAGGCGAGGGTGAGATAGGTGATTCCAGTGTGCAGTCATACTTGTGACCCAGCACCCTACGACACAGGACCAACAGGGAGCCCAGTGCAGAGGGAAAAGCATGAGGCACAGACTTGTTTGCATCCCATTTAGTTTTGTGAGAAAAAAACCACAATTACAAGAGAAGTGGGGATGCTCAGGCCGAGCACATTTAATAATCCTCACTGGGAGAGGGCTGAAAACTATTTGACACATTCCCTAAACCAGTAAATCAGAGATTCAGATAAATAATATCCAAAGGGGGGACTGTCATCTACCCCAAGGCCACAGACAGATAACTAGAATTCTGGGTCCCAGGGTGAGTCTGGGAGTGGGACCCTGTGAAAGGCAGCTGTGACAGGTGATGTCTGTCAGACACCAGCTTCTGGACTGGCCCTCCTCCCTTCCCAGGCTCTGGGCGGGGAGGGAGAGCAGGCTTTGGCTCAGTAGAACTCTGGAGGAACCTGAGTGGGGACCAGGGCTGGCTGAGGGGACAGGCTCACTTATAGTTCTTGGAGGGAAATTCCCGCCGGCCTTTCCCCTTGCCGCCAAAGTTGCGCACCCGATGGATGACCTGCAGCTGCTGCTCAATGGTCGCGGTGATGTTCACATCATCGGGGATGTGGACGTAACGGACATTCCGGCCTGTCACAAAGAGGTCATCCAGCTCGACCTGATGCCCCCAACGGTCCGTGTAGGTGACCTGGGCCAGGCGGATGTTCATGAAAGCATCAACGTTGTCTATGCGTCCGCGGGCCATGCTCTCATCCCGCAGGTCCACGGTGGTGACCTGGCCCTGGAGGCCCTGCAGCAGGATGATCAGGCTGTTCTCGGAGATGGTCCGCTCCTTCACTGAGTGGCTCACTGCCATTCTTCCACACTGCGGCTGCTCGCTCTGGGAGGGGCACACAGAGGGGAGCTGTGGCAGGCTAGCGGGTGCAGGTGCTCACTCACCTCCACCAGGTTTTAGCACAAAATCCCCAGCCCAGACATTCCCAAGTCTGCCCACCTCCCCAATTTCTGTGTCTATGGAGCACCCTTAGGTGCTTCATGTACACACCTCATAGAATCCTCACAACACCTTGCAAGCCAAGGATCACTTATACTCACTTTATAAATGAGGAGAATATGGCCGGGAGAGATTAAGTCACTTGCCCAAGGTCACACAGGTGATAAGCGGAGGTGCTGGGATTCAAACCCATCTCTGCCTGACTCTAAACCCCACACCAGTGGTTCTGAACCCTCACCGTATGTTAGAATCATCCGCTGAGTTTTTACCTGGCTGCCACACCCCAGAGGTTCTGATTCATTTGGTCAGGGGTGGGTCCCAGGTATCCTATTTTTTAAAAGCTCCCCAGGTAATTCTAATGTGCATCCGAGTTTGAGAACCACTGCTCTAAAGTGTAGTTTACACCCTTGCTACCCAGGCACTTGTTAGAAGTACAGAATCTCCAGGCTTTCCCCAGACCTACTTAGAGAATCTGCATTTTAACGTGACCCCTAGGTGAACCACCAGTTCTCAAACAATTGCCTGCATCAGAATCACCTGGAGAACGTGTTAAAACACAGACTGCTGGGCCCACCTTTCAGTTTCTGACTCAGTCGGTCTGAGGTGGGGCCCAAGAATGGGCACTTCTAAAATATTCTCAGTTGATGCTGATGTTACTGGCCTGGGGCGCGCTGAGAACGACTGGTCTACAGGATGCTGCCACCATGTAACCAGAAATTCAGATAACTGATTGAAAACAAGAAATGGTAGCATATACAGCACATACGTTTTGAAGGTAGAGAAATGGAGGTTCGACTCCCCACTCCACCCACACTCTGTAAACGTAAGACAGTTACTTAATGTCTCTGAACCTGTTTCCACGTCTATTAAACCATAGGCTAAATGAGGCTAACAAGCTCTAACCACACTGAATGTATTTTCCTTTGCTTTCGATTATGCCCTGATGCTGTATTAATGTAACTTTGTCTTATCTATCCTCCATTTTCAGACCCTGAGTGCAAGTTGGTGGAACTTTCTTTTCTTTCCTTAAGACCTCACTCAGGATGCCGAAAGGGCTGTGCAGGGTGGCATTAAGTGTGGCAAGCTACCCATACCACTGACGAGAGGCTAGGAGCTGGGCCGGCCGACTCTAACGACCCCACCCAGGCTTCACCAGGAGTACGTGTCCAAGCAAGGGTTTGGGGCAGCACAGTGACTGCAAAGAGGCAGGTCTGGTCTCGAGGACGGGCTCGGCCACTTCCTAGGAGGGCGACCTCGAGCAAGCCACTTGGCTTCTTCAAGCCTGTTAGCCAATCCCTAAAAGGGGGATGGTGATCACCCTTTACTCACAGAGCGTGGGAGTGGGCTTGGGTGAGGAGCTACGCTCAGCAATCGGGAGGAAAACGCTGGCCCCGCTCCCGCCGCCTCCGCGGCTCCTGGTTCCCCAGCGTTCCGCCCCTGGCTCCCGGACCCACCGCGCGCGCTCCTTCCGCTGTCCCGCTGCGCGTCGCCGCCGAAACTAACGAGCGCCTAGCCGGGGGGCTCCTCTCCCGCGGCCGAACTGAGAAGCCATGGCAACCGAGGGGCCGCTCTGCCCTCCCGGAGCATCGAGAGCGCGGCTGCGCGCAGGGCCCGCGACCCCGCGGCGGGCCCGGAACTACAATCCCCAGAAGGCCTCGCGGGCGCGTGACTCGCGCTCCTGGAGCCGCGGCCTACGTCATTGGATTCTCTCCTATTTTGGAGTCATTCTTCCGTTCAGCGAATCCGGTCGCCCCTCCTCCGTGGGGCAGTTAGTTCCGGAACCCCCGCGAATACCGAAACCAGGGATGCTTAAGTCCCTTCTATGAAGTGGCGTCGTATAGGAGGGTTCCGCATTCGCGGATACGGAGGGCCAGCTGTATTCATTGAACCTTCACCGTGTGTCGGACACTTTCCCAGGCTCTGGTCGTAGGGGTGACCAAGGAGGCAAGCTCCGTGATCTGATGACCCGACCCTTAAATCTACTGGGGCGGGGGGAGGCGGGGGAGTCGCCTATGAGAAAAAGAAAATTATGATAAAATTTCTTCAGAGAATTAAAACGGGTCGATGTTATAGTGACTGGGTGACTCTTTATTGGACGGTCAGGGGTGTCCTGAGAAGGTGACATTTGACATCTGAGTTGAGATGAATTACATGAAGCCAAGCTTGTGAACGCTAGGAGAAGAGCATTGCAGTTAGAGGGAACAGTTTGTGCAAAGGACCTGGTGCAAATGAGCTTGACAATTTGGAAAAGCGGAAAGGCCAGTAAGACTGGGAAGAGTAGTGTGACAAGAAGTCGGAGAGGAAAGCAACAGCCAGGGTATTTAGGATTTTGCAAGCCGAGGTAAGGCGTTTGGATTTCTGGATTAGGAGTGCAGGCTCTGGAGGCTGTGCCTGGGTTTAAATCTGCCCCTTGTTAACTGTGTGACTTTAGACAAGTTAATTATCCTCTTTGTGCCTCAGGTTTCCTCATCTGTTACTGGAAGTGCAACGATAGGCCATCAAAGGAGAGTGACAGGATCTAATTTACATTTTAAAAGGTCATTCTGTATAGCCTTGGAAAAGCTGCTTATCTTTCTGCAGCCTCAATTTCATTAGAAAAAAACAAAACAATGACTAACTCAGAGAATTGTTTTAAGGTTTGAGTGACCTTCATTAATGTGTGAAAGCACCTGGCACACAAGAGCTCAATAAGAGTTAGGTTTGTGTCATTTCTTTATCCTCTCATTCACTGGTTTCCACCTTCCCCAGGAGCCTTCTCTTTTTACCAGTCATCACCAGTCATCACAGAGACCTCTCCTTATCCTAAAAATTGAAATTGTCTTTCTCCTCCATGCATGCTACTCTTGTTTTCCTACCTTCCACAGTAGAACTCAGGAGAGGCCTCTATATCAGTGGTTCTCCAGTTGCAGTCCCTTTTCCAACCTTATTTCTGTGTGAGACTGGATTTTCTTCATGTACTTCAGCCAAAACAACATAGCACAATGGGCTGAATGCAGAAGCAGATATGAGAATCCAACTGTCTTCTATTGTGATAGACATTAAAGAGATTTGCAAAACTATAAAGCAGTGTCACTCTTCTCACTATATTTTTTCTTTTGGAAAATATAGTTATTTTTAAATAAAAATATGTTAATGGGTCTGTTGTTATTTAAAAGAGAATTAATATTAAAATTTTAATTTCATAGATATGTGATTACCATATATATACACACACACACACACACACATATATATATATATATATATCCCCCACATAAACAAACACTTTTGGGGGTTTTCAATAATTTTTTTAAAAAATTATTTATTTATTTTTGGTTGTGTTGGGTCTCCGTTGCTGCGTGTGGGCTTTCTCTAGTTGCAGCGAGCGGGGGCTACTCTTCGTTGCGGTGCGTGGGCTTCTCATTGCGGGCTTCTCTTGTTGCAGAGCACGGACTCTAGGCGCACGGGCTTCAGTAGTTGTGGCACGTGGGCTCAGTAGTTGTGGCTCACGGGCTCTAGAGCACAGCCTCAGAAGTTGTGGCACACGGGACTAGCTGCTCCGCGGCATGTGGGATCTTCCTGGAACAGGGCTCGAACCCGTGTCCCCTGCATTTGCAGGCGGATTCTGAACAACTGCACCACCAGGGAAGTCCCTTCAATAATTTTTAAGAGTACAAAAGTGTCCTGAGACTGAAAGTTTGAGAACTGCTGCTCTGTCCTGAAGGCTTTCACCTACTCCCTCACCTCACTGTAATCTGGCTTCTTCTCGAGTATTTTGAGTTCTACTCCCATTAACTTCTCTGAAGAAGGTTACTAATGATTTCCTTGTTCTTAAGAGAACCTCTATCTCTTTCTTAGTCCTTACTTCCATGATCCTTCTCAGTGATTGACCATACTGACCATCGTCCTCCTTGGTAATTTTTTTTCCCCCTGGGGCTTTGTATCACTTGGTTTCACCCATTTCTCTGATTGTTTCTTCTCCATCTCTCTTTTTTTAACCCCACTTCATTCTGCTCCCTAAACACGTGTGCTTTTTCTGGGGCTGTATTCCTGGCCCAGCTCTCTTCTTGGTCGAGTATCTCTTTGCCACCTACCACTATATGCTGAATTTCTGTCTACATCTCTAGCCCAGAGTGCTCCACACAAGACCTCCATTTCCCAGCTGTCTGTTGCTTATTCTCACATGTGTCACTGGTACTTGGAACTCAGCGTGTCTATAGGACAAGTTCATCAAGTCCTTCCCAAATGAATTGCTACTCTGAATGTTTCTATTTCTGTGGTTGCTACCACCATTTTTCAACTACCCAAGTTCGGCACCTTGAATAAGCTTGACAACTTCTATCATTTCCGGATTCACCCACATCTGTCACAGTCACTGAACTCTGAAGATTCTTTGGAATTTGTCTCCCAGCCTTCACTTGCCTTTTTATTCTGACTGCCACCATTCTAGTTGAGACCCTCTTTTTCTCATTTAATTCATTATAAAAGCCATCTTACTGGTCTTTGTGTCCCATGATCCTTTGCGAACAGATTCAAAGTACAGTTATGATCTTACTTACCTGCTAAGAAAAAAATCAATTCACTAGCAGAATAAAGTTTCCAGTGCTGACATTGATTTGATTCCAACTTACCTTCCAGCTGAATCTCCTTCAGGTTCTCTACCCAAACTCTCCAACCAGTGTTTCTTAAAGTGTGGTCTGGGAACCAGTTGCCTTGAAGTTATCTGGAATGCTTGTTAAACCCAACCCCACACCTACAGACTCAGGAGTGGAGCTCGGGGATCTGCACATCTAACAGTGTACACTACAATTGGAGACCTGCTGCCCTCCTTTCTAGTCAGACTCAGCAACCCCCAGACAAGCCCTGCACTCTTGTCTCTGCCTTTGCTATCCTGCTCCATCTGCCTGGGATCTTCTCTTTTTATCTATAGATGTTAAGTCCAATCCCTCCTTCAAAGGCTGGCTCCATTGCTGTACCTTTCTGAAGTCTTCCCTGATTACCCCAATTGGGAGTGACGCTGATAGCGTATTGCTTGGTATATGTTTGCCGGTTGCATGCAGATTCACCATAGTTATTTACGTAAATCTTGTTTCTCCTGCTCATCTCCTGGGTGTTGAGACAGGGAGAAGGTCCTAGGAGGCACAAATGCTTCACCCTACAAAGAGCAGTTGCAGGAGGGACTGGTTTTATGAATGTGGTGAGAAGGTGATGGGGATCTGAATGAATTGGTGGCAGTGGGGTGGAAAGAAGGGATGAGTGTTACAGACTCTGAGGAGGGCTAATCAGAATCCTTGGGGCTGATTAAATCTGGAGCGTGGTTTGCAGAGCGGGAATCAATGATTTAAATTTTAACACTGTGTATCCAGAGAGGTGGTGGTCCATTGATAGGAATAAGAGGGTTGGGGGGGTCATGCCTGTGGAGGGTATCTCAGTTTTTGGCTACTCAGCCACCGAACTCCTTTCCCATTTGGGGAAATCTGACATTCTATGAATTTCAGTGGGAGGTGAGGTTCTGCTTCCCACTCCAGATGATTTAAAGGCCTTGTCAGGTATGGCATGGGCTTGTGACATAAACTCAGGCATTATCAGATTCTAAATCTGGAGCAAGAGACATGAACCAGCAGGAACTGTTTAGGCTCCGTCCTGGTGTCTGCGTCATCCAGTGCCTCATTCCCGGGGGTGCTGCTGGTGCTGGAGTGCTTTCCTATGCTGCCTGCTCTTCCTCGGTTCCTGGCCATTTCCCATGGGCCTTCAGTCTTCCTGACAACTGTGAGTTGCCTGAAGGCACTTTCAGTAGATTCCTTCTCTACCTAAGTAGCCAGAATTACTTCCAATTTCTTTTGCAACCTCAAACCCAGACAAGGGTCCACTTGAATTGAGTTCAAGAGCCTTGAATTTCCCTGTTCCCTTTAGATGAGCTCTGTTGTGGTTCTGTATCCCTTTGTCAGAGGATCACAGAATCCTGAGAGTTAGGGCGATTCCCAGGTCACCTGCTCCAACTTACCACCCAGGGTCCAAATCCCCACTCCACCCCCCCACAGTTCCCCCTGTAACCACTGCCCGAGACTCCAGTGACCAGCAGCTCACTCCTGTGCCAGCTGTTTTACTCCATTGTTGAGAAGTTTTGGGTAAATTCTACCCATCACTTCTGGTTCTTTTCTATGGAGAACTGTCTTATTTCGTATTATATTTAAGAAGTTTCTTCATGCCTTTCAAAAGTGAAAAAAATGACCTGAATAAATAAAAATGACGTCAGTGCTAGACACTAAGCTTGGGGTGATGGAGCATCTCAGGGAAAGTGAGTCTGCAGTCAAGGTGAGGCGGGGGATACAGAGATTTGTGAGTTAATAGTACTGGTTGAAAATAATGGCCTCTCTGAAAAAAGGGATGCAAAACAATTTGCAGAAGAGTGCAAACTGAGCACTGCAGGGCACATAAAACATTTGGTCAGCACGGGGCAAGAGCACTGGGGTGAGGGTAAGGGACAGGGTGAAGGTGAGAAATGGAGTGTGAGAGACAGATGAGGTGAGAGAGAGGATGGGGGTGGGGGAAAACGCCAGGGATGAAATAAGGATCCTCCGGCAGTTGCCCTGGCCGTTCTGACAGACTTAGAAACAGCTACATTAATGCCTGCATCAAAGACGGGCCATCCTCAATCAGAAGCCACCGGGCGAGAGAGGAGAAGTGTGGTCAGAAATCACTAGGATCTGGGACTTTCCTGGTGGTCCAGTGATTAAGACTCCGCACTTCCACTGCAGGGGGCACGGGTTCGATCCCTGGTCGGGGAACTAAGATCCTGCAAGTGGGCCTGGCGTGGCTGGTGGGGTGGGGGAAAGAAAAGAAATTAGTAGGATTGGAGCCCCCAAGGCCAAGGGTGAGAGAGTTTTAGGAAGAAAAGGGTCTTGAGCAGGGCCAAGGAGAATGGGGAGCAGAGAAGGTGGTGGGGTCCAGCAAAGTTGAGGCCTGGAGACTTGAGAAGGGACCTACCTGTGTAGTGGCAGGAGCTATGGGGGGCAGGAGGGAGGAAGGCGAGGCAGCTCGGAAGACTGTAGAGCTGGTGAGTGAGCTGAGGAGGCCCTGGAGGAGCAGAGGCTGTGCTGCGTGGGAGCGGCTTGGACCGAGGAGCTCCCCAGCTGCCATTTGGTGAACTTTTTAAAACACTTAATTAATTCATTAATTTTTGACTGCGTTGGGTCTTCATTGCTGCACACGGGCTTTCTCCAGTTGCGGCGAGCGGGGGCTACTCTTCGTTGCCGTGTGCAGGCTTCTCATGGCGGTGGCTTCTCTTGTTGCAGAGCATGGGCTCTAGGCGCGGGGGCTTCAGTAGTTTTGGCTCGCGGGCTCAGTAGTTGTGGCTCGTGGGCTCTAGAGCGCAGGCTCAGTAATTGTGGTGCACAGGCTTAGTTGGTCTGAGGCATGTGGGATCTTCCCGGACCAGGGATGGAACCTGTATCCCCTGCAGTGGCAGGCGGATTCTTAACCACTGCACCACCAGGGAAGTCCCTGGTGAACTTCTGAGGTGCAGAAAGGGGTCTGGGTAGGCAAAAAGAGATAAAAGATGTGGTGAGGTAGAGAGGAGAGGCGAGGGAGGGCATCTGACACAGGTATTATTTTCTCAGTTGTAACTGAAGCTGAGAGGCCTTCTGGATATCCAGAAAACCCAAGTCAAGCATCCTTGACCTTCCCCTTGAATACTTGAAAAAAAGGTCAGCCCCTGGGGAATTTTATAAAGAGCAGGAGGGTGGAGTGATCTGAAGCCAATGTGCACATCTAGGATTTAGGAGTCTTGGGTCTGCCCCGAGCTCTATAAAGCTTTGTTTATAATACTTATTTTATCCTTTGTGTGTTTTAAAGTTGTATGTATCAAGTAACCCTAAAATAAAGAAACAATATTTGAAGTTTATAGACAGTGGTTTTGGATGAATTATGTAAGAGATGGGAATTTAAACAATTTCCTTTATTGTAATTTCAGCTGTCTCTGTGACTTTCAAGAAGTCACTTTTATTTTCTTCCTCTTATTTTTCTCCCAGGTTACTGGCACTAGTGTTAATGACCCACCCTGGCAGGTCCTTCACCTTCATAATGAAATTAAAAAAAAAAAAAAAAAAGGCCACACCTAGTGGTGTGGCCTCCCTAGGCCTCAGGCAGCTGGGGTTTCCTGTGGTTCTGGGAACTAACAGAGAAGGTAATGTTATTTTTGACATCAGAGGAGCGACTGGCCAGAAACAAAAAGAACACAGCGTTGTGTATGTGGGGTGGTGGGGGTTGTTAAGGGGATCAAGTAATTCAGAATAATCTCCATCGGCCCTTGGAACGCATCTTGACCTTCTCATCTGGAAAGAGGTGGCTATGATCTGAGAATTTACTTCACGTTGAATCATGAAACTGGGCAGGGAAGATTCAACTGTGAAGAGGGTTCTCCAGCCCAGTCCCTTGAAAACACTTCTTTTCACTCCCTCTGCTGCCAGCTGTCCAGGAATTTGGCAGCTGACGAGGAGTTTTCCAGGGCATAATTCAAAGGGAGGAAGGGGGAGGTAAACAGTGTATCAGTTTTTGGATTTTAATTTGGGTCTTTACGATTCGGTATTATGCTAATATATATATATATATATATATATATATATATATATATTTTTTTTTTTCCCTAAGATTTGCATTTGTCTTTCTGTGGTTTCCTGAGGCTTGAGTTGGTCTCCATGGATGTAAACCAGAGTGACAAAACAGGTGGAAGAGGATGAGGGAATCTGATCCTGTTCAGACTTGGGGATCTCCAGGATCTGGTTATGATGTTTGAATTTGTTTCTCGCCTACCAGGATCTGGATCAAAGGAAAAAAGTGAGTTTATCTTTTAAAATTGTTACATACTTATGTGGACTGCATGGGATGACTTTCATTCTAGAACTAAGGGCTAAATACATTTCCTCCTTTTTTTCTTCCCCTTCACTCTCAATTTTTATTACATCTTTCTTCTGGGAGCCATTAAAGTACTTTTGTTCAGAAGGCTTTTCTAGAGCTTTGCCTTGCATGTTCTACGGGGCCTTCCAACACTATGATAAGAACAAGAGCAGGACAGTTTAAAACTTAGTTGAGAAGAGGTTAAGTCACAGAATTGCTGAAAGAGAGCAGATATACTCCCAAAGCATGGAGTGGGGTGGGGGAGTGCGGCGTGGGTAAAATTCCAGTTCTCAGACCCCACCTGGGGCAGGGGCTAAGAATCTGTAAACTCAGCAACTTAGCTGGGGCAAGCTGGCTTTGAGTCAATGAACTAGTTCTTTTCCTTTCTTACAGATGAGAGAACTGAGGCTCGGTGAGGGTAACTGCCTAAGACGCCGTGGTGAATTCGGGGAAGGGATGGGGACCACGGTGTGCCTTCCCTCGGAGCGCACTGGGCACTGTTGTGTGACACCCTCAGACCCCGTGGCCTGGTGTTAAGTGAACAATGATGCCTTGTCAGTACTCAGTCCACATTCTTGCCCGGGGAATCCTTGCCTTCTCTTTCCTTTGCTCCCTCCCGACTCCCCTGCTTTCTCTGGGTACCCTGAACCACCATGCAAATAAACTTGTTTTTCTCAACATTTGTGCAAGTCTAGAGACATGAAACTCAAAGACTGCCTCATCACCAGGCTGCCTTACCAGAGACCTGTATCTTGTTTGTTCACTGAGAGAACAGATAGGTTTGAAATCATCAGCGCAGCTCTGGGATAGGTGGAGGCAGAAGGCTGCTTCTCAGCAGCCCGTGGCCCACCTCCAAGGCCCCAGGACAAGCTCGGAGCAGACAGTGAAGTTCAGGTTTGTGGCAGTGCGGTGGCAGCCAGGCCTAAGACAGAGCCTTCCCCTTCACTTGTCATCCAGTCAGGCCACCCCAACCGGTGGCCAGATTGCTTAAAAGAGACTAAAACAGTTTGAAGGCACTTTGAAGCCTGTAAGAAGCAGCTTACACAGCACGGTGTGCTTCTCCTCCTTCAGCGGACCTTTTGGGGGCTTTGGTGGGTAAGAAAGAGTCACTTTCATGGGTAGGAAGCAACTTTACTGGGTGATTTACCCTTCTCTATTCAAACCCTATGCCTTGGGTAAGCTAAAGGACAGGCACCCTTGCATTCCAGAAATATGTTCGCCTCAACTCTTGCTAAGGTGCCAGGGTCCCGAGTGGTCCTGGTGGCTGTGGCTCAATCTCAGGCAATGAGCAGCTCAGCTCAGTTTCTCTCCTACCATCTGCCGTCCTGGATATTTTCTTCCATGGGACTGAATGTACCTTGGCCTCTGGATATTGGCTGATCCTGAGCCCGCCAGTTAGTTACTCAATTCAGGATGAATATGAGGTGGAGGGCTGGCCCTCCTTCCTGAAGCAATCGGGGCAGCCCTGGCCTGAGACAGTTCTCATGGAGCCCAATTAGACTTGGCATCCTGCCAAGGGAAGTCGCTCATCTGGTGCACGGATGGGAAAGTGGTACACCGTGTGCACCTCCCGTACATCAAACTTAAGGCTCTGCTTGGCCGCTAATGGCGAAGCAGAGGAGACACATGTCATGGCACGTCATGCTGGGTGTCTTTAGAAGGCAAGAACACTAAGTGGCAGAGGGAGACTCTGGGGGTAAGGAGGACGCATCATTCTTAAAAAGCAAACTGTTTCCTTGGTACGCATTTCCATATGGGATAAGTCCACACTACATATGGATAGAGAGATGTGCGGAGAACCACAGACACCCACACGCTCTGCGCGGGGCCTGCCTGAGGCTTCCCTGTCACGGCCTTGCTTCCTCTGCCTCTGAGCTGACAGTTCCCAGTGTGCCAGGGAGAGGAGGGCTGTATAAACTGGGCCCCGACTGCTTGAGGCAACCGCCTTTTCCACTTACGTCAAACTCACAAGGCAGAATACGTCCGACAAAGCGCCGACGTTTAGTGATGATTCACAGGCACCTGTGAGCAGTGGGTCCCCCGGGCAAAGCTGTAATGAAAACGGCAACAGGAGCGCCCTCTTACTGACTCTCAGGCTTGACCCTGTGGCTCCGGATGCTTTGATTGCCATAAAACTAGCAAGAACATGGGAAAGGTCCAGTTTAAAAGCCAGAATATATTTTGCTGAAAATATGAATGTGTGTGTGCCTTCCAGAGACTGTGCTCCCTGAGGGAGACCCGCACAGTTCGTTAGGACATAAACAGGAACAAGAGGTAAGGAAGGGCTTCACTTAGTAGAAAACTAGCAGCATCATTTGGCTCCCTGGGGACATCCCCCAGGGTCCTCATCAAGCAGCCTCTCCGTAGGGGGAGGGTCGTGCCTGGTCAGCACAGCTATAACTCATCCATCATGGCAAGCAAATCATCGCCCTTGCTGGCACTCCGCCTTGGCTGGTCCAAGATCTCAAACTCCCCCATGATCCGAGCCAGCTCTTCGTTCGTCTGCTGGTCCTGTGAGAGAAATGAGAGGTGGAAGGGAATGAGGAGGATGTGTGGGCACCATGGCCTCTTTGTGCAGTTGGTAGTTAATTTTCCCACCACTGTGATGCATTTCAGTTCCTCACCTGTTTGTCAGAATAGGGACTACATTACGTGCGGATTAGAGAGGAGAAGGGAGGGCCTTTGAAGTTCAATGTTATTATAAGATGAGGAGGGGAATAAGAATTGACTTGTGTAATCCCCTGCACACACCTGAGTAGCTTGGATGTTGATAACTTCATAGAATAACTCTTCTGGCCTGGTTAGCGCTGCCTGTCTGCACAAGATGGTAGAGAAATGGGTCAAAGGTTAGGGTTTTCTCCCTGCTAGTGTGGCAAACTGGCCCTTGATAATTTGGCAACCTATTTTTTCTGCCTCACCTTCTGCCCTTTCCATTCACCTTTCTACCCTGTCCCCAACCAGTGCACCCTACACTCCAAGAAGTCCTTTTATGTCTCTGTGCCTTTGCACGTACTACTGCCAAGAACGTTTCTCCCCTTCCTCTGCTTGGCAAACTCCAAGACCCAGCTCAGTTGCCAACTCCTTCAATCCGCGGGTGCAAAGTCAGTCGCCGTGTCCTCCACTGGAGTGTTTATGACATGGCGCTCGAGTGACTTGTGCACGTGTTCGTGCTCCTACGACACTGGGAGTGCCTGAGGACAGGTCCCAGGTCTTCCGCTCCATCTGTGGGTCCCCACACGTACCACAGCACCTGCCACTTCAGTGGAGAGGGAAATAGAAGGCAACCCCCATCCCAAATATTTGGTTGCGAGGAGCATCACATGAGATAATGAAGCCAGAGGTGCTCTGTAAACTGTAAAGCGCTGTGTCAGTCTCAGTGAATTGCCACCACTATTGGTTCTGGGGGAGACTGATCCCAAAGATATCATGCTCCGACCTCCTTCTGGTTTACCAGTCTTTTGTTAACATGATTATCTTGACTTCCAATTCTCTCATTGAGTTGTACTTTGCTAAATGAAACATTAGAACTATTTTTTTAATGAATCCACAAAGTTCAGGCTATTTAATACTGGTGGATTCTTCTTTAGGTTATTGAGTTTGCTGGTATTTCATTTGTGGTCTTTACATCTGTGTTTATAAGGGTCATTGGTTTATAACAGTCATTTTTCGGTTCTTATCACACTTAGGATTTTTATATAGGTCTTTAAAGAAACAGGCTGAAAACATACTCTTCCTCTTCATCAGTGGTGAAGAGATTCAACCGGAATCCTGGCTCAGGGCCACTAGGTTTCTTAATCTCCATGCCTCCTATCAGCCTGGCCAAGAGATTCAGCTCTTCTTTAGCAAGAGGGTTTGGAGCAATGCTTTCCTGCAGGAACAATTTCATGATTTTTAGCCACATGAAGGAGATCACATTTTCTGCTGAGACCCCAGAGCCCCGGGGTGGTATTATATAACAAGGCAAAACGATAACAGTTTAAATTACTTCTGGGAAGGACTGGGCCCAAATGAAACATAGAAAACAGGCTTAACCAAGAGAGAAATAACCTGTGTCAGAGGCAGAGGGACTCTAACAAGGCACAAACCAGAGATTCTCAAGATGAGGGGAAGGCCCCAGGGATCCCCATTCTCCTCAAATTACCTTCCTCCTTGAAGGAGAAGAACGTTGCTTCTCCTTCAGGCAATCTAGTTCCCCCAGCCTTTACAAGTAGGAGGCTCCAGGTCCAAGGGCACTCATTCCATGGGAGCGACCACACTGCGCTCAGGTGGTGTCCGTGCACAATCCCTCCCCCCATGCCCCCACCGAATCCCTTCCGTCCTGTGGCTTCCACTCACACTGCCTGGTCCCACTGCAGCCTTCCCCCCTCCTCCTAACCGGCTCTCTCTAACGCAGCCTTTCGCTGCTTTGCCTATTGAATCAGGCCCCATGTCCCTGCCCAGGCGAATCTCTGACCACTGCTGCTATCACGTTATGATCTAGCCATGTGGGAGAGACGCTGCCTCCCCGCTTCCCCCAACACTATGATTCTGGGTGCTTTTGCTCATGCTGTCACCTGGGTTTGTATGCCTGTTTCTCCCTCTGGGCTGTTTAGTATCTTCTTCACTCTACAGCCTCGCTTGAATGTCGCCTCCACTGAAAAGCCTTCTTGTTCCCTGTCCTCCGCTACCCCCCCCCCCCCCCGCCGGACAGGACATGTGTTCTGACACAGCTCTTTACTCAGAATGCTCAGCGAGCGTCTTTCGTCTTCCGCCGTGTTGTAGTTATTTGTTCCATCACCGTCTTTATAAGCCCCTTCAGGATGGGACCACATCTAAGCCAGCTCTGTGTCCTGGGAACCCAGCCCATAGACGTAGTTCAGTAAATGTTTACAGAATAACTGAGTATTCCATGATTTGTCCTATAGCTAGCTGGTAGCTAGTTCAGTGAAAATTTGTACAACAGAATTCAGAGAACCAAAAACCCCATTTTCAACTTAGCTTCCACATCATTACACAGGAAAGCACTGAAAAAGGGATGTTTTAAGGATCAGAATACACACAAGTGCTAAATTCAGCAACCACGGACCTCGTGACACTGGTACAATGCTATTTCACATGTCCTGGTGTGTGGTTCCTGCTTAATTATGGTGGGAGCCAAGTTTAAAATTACCTAATTAGATCACTGGAAGTCTCCATGAGAAACTGTAATTAAAAACCTGTGTGATGGGGACTTCCTTGGTGGTACAGTGGTTAAGAATCCGCCTGCCAATGCAGGGGACACAGGTTTGAGCCCTGGTCCGGGAAGATCCCACATGCTGCAGAGCAACTAAGCCCGTGAACCACAACTACTGAGCCTGCGCTCTAGAGCCCGTGAGCCACAACTACTGAGCCCACGTGCCGCAGCTACTGAAGTCCGTGTGCCTAGAGCCCGTGCTCCACAACAAGAGAAGCCACCGCAATGAGAAGCCCATGCGCCTCAATGAAGAGTAGCCCCCGCTCGCTGCAACTAGAGAAAGCCCGTGCACAGCAATGAAGACCCAACGCAGCCATAAATAAATAAATAAACAAATAAAATTTAAAAACAAAAAACCTGTGTACTGGTAAGGCGGAATGGAGAAGATTGCAAACAATGAGGGAAATGTTGGCCAGCTCTGAAATCTAGAGATCCCTCCCTCTCCCCGTCCAGACTCTTGTATCTAGAAATAAGCTATGAAGGTAAACAAGGGAGGCAGAAGCTTACCTGTGTCTGTGCAGCTAAGTTCTCTGATGCTCCAGACATATGGGTTTCCATGGGCCGGTTCACACTGTACCTGGTGGCAACAGAAAACCACAAAAACATTGTCCAGCCCTTTTACCCTGACTTCCTTCTAACTCATAAATATAGTGCATAGTTTTTATTTTGAGGCATTAAAAAGTGTCCAGAAAGGTGCTGGGAATACAGAATACAACTAAGTGGGTGTCAACCACTCAAATTTTGCTTCTTCCCCAAACAAAATATCTGGGAAGCTGTGTGGAAATTTTTTCTCCGGCAAAATAATATGTACCGCTGAAAAAAACATGATCGGTACGTGAAGGCCAGGCCCTTTTGGATCGCCACTGCAACAAAGGTTTTGGCTAGCTCTCTTGCGTGGCTATTTAAAATTATTTATCTTTTCAACTTGTTAAGTTACCTTATGTTGGGAAATCTGAGGTGCCCTTTGGAAACATCGGGGCTCTGCATGCCGTATATCTAAGGGGAAATTCCTCCAATTGTCAGCAGGGATTTTTCATAGCAGAAGTCAAGCTGGTTTTTTAAGTGAAGGGACTTCCGTTGGACTTGAATTCATTTGGGGAAGGAGGAATTTGCTTACATATTAGTTCCCAGTTTCAGGACTCGGTCTCCATAGAGTTCAAAAGATCCTTCTTTGGGGGCAGCGACATAGCTCCCGCCGTGCTTGAATTCTACCTTCCTCACTTCTTCGCCTTTGTTGTTGAACGTCCTACAATACAAAGTAGGACGTGATGACGTGTTCTCCAAGCTTGGAGAGTCCCGGAGGCTTCTTTAATCTTGGTACTATGGGACCAAAGGGAATTCACGCACTGCTTCAAGATAAAGATGCTGGTTGATATAATGATAGTAATATAATAATAATAATAATATTTATTGAGTACATGTTATGTGCCGGGTGCTGTGTAGCACTTTGGAGCATTACAGTATTACCTTATTCATCCTCACAGTAAACGTTCAATAGATGAAGAAATAAATCCTGGAGAACCGGGTGGTTTGTTTCAAGTGTCTGCGAGGTGACAAGCTGGGATTAAACCTCACCTCCTCACTGCTGTGCTCAACTGAAGAAAAGGAGGGGCCCCAGCAGGGCTACATTCTACGTGGTGGCCCACATACTGCTTTCCCAGCACCCAAATATTGGTCTGACAATTACTGTTGAGAATTCACCTGACGAGTCCGGGAACTTTGGTTCCCCAGGGAAGAGGCCCAGACACTGGCAACACAAAGCGACCGTTGGAATTCTGAACTTTGTCCTTTAGAAATATGGACACCTGGAAAAAAAATACTTATTGTCATTTTTCTTGGTATATTTCCATAGACATATGCATTCTGAGGATGGAAAGTGTGTAATGGCTTAAGAATGCTACCTAAGAGAGAAAAACTCACTGTAACTAACACCTGCAGAGATGTAGTGTTTTTACACAGAACTCCTTTGGCGCCACACATCAAATCTTCCAGGTGAGTAGTGCTACCCCCCCTGCCTTAATGAGGAGGCTGAGGTTCACAGAGTGAAATGACTCGCCCAAAGAGAACAAAAAGAGACAGGACCAGGATTCAAAACCAAGGTTGACTCCAAATTCCACACCCATTCCTTGGTTCCTTGCAAACTTTCCATACAGCTGTGAGGCTTGACCTATAAGAACCTCATTATCTCCGTTTTACGGATGAGGAATTGGTGGCTCAGAGGTTAAGACACTTCCTCTAGGCCAGCCAGCTCATAAGGGGCAGGGCTGAGGATTCAAGCCCTTGTGTTTCTGACTCCAAGCTCTCAGCTATGTGCTGGACCGGTGGATCCAGCTCGCATTAGAGTCTGAAGGTCTTCTCTGTGCCTGAAAACCCTACGTGATGCTTACTTCTTACTCCTTGCTTTGTGCGCTCTGTATTCAGGTCTTGGGCAGGTTAAATCCCATCAAGATTGTAGCACTTAATCAATTTTATTGGGGAGTTCCCTGGCTGTCCAGTGGTTAGGACTCGGTGCTTTCACTGCTGTGGCCTGGGTTCAATCCCTGGTCGGGCAACTAAGATCCCGCAAGCTGTGCAGCACCGCCAAAAAAAAAAAATAATAATAATAATCCGTTTTATTGGAGCTTCGCTTCCTCATCTGTAAAGTGAGATACATTTGAAGGTCCCTTGAAACTCTAAAATTCTACAAGATTACATTAGTAATATCAAGAATAGGCATCTGTTGCATGCAAGGCAGTGAAAATGCCAAGTGGTAAGGGTTTGTACGCTGGCGGTCTGGCCTGCCGACGTTAGACTGCCCAGGCTCACAGCTCAGCTGGGCCTCTCCTTGGCTCGGGGTCCTTTGGTAAGTTACACCACCTTTCTCTTTGGTAAACTGGGGATAATAACAGAACCTATTCAATGGGTTAGCTGACCACTATGTCAAATGATGAACAAAAAGCACTCATCACAGAGCCTGACATATAGTAGGTGCTCAATAAGAGATAACTAATATTCTCAGTATCACAGTCTAATTGGGCACAGGACACAGCATAGAATGGAAAAACGGCGACCCTATAAAACACGGTACGCTGAATGGAATATTCAGATGTGCCCACTGAGGAGCACGACCACAGGCAGAGGGGGTGGGTAGGTGCAACTGCGGGTTTGGAGCTGGGCCTGGAGGAGGAAGGTGGGTGTGAAGACACTTCAGAAGCAGAGATGGGCAGGCACAAGGCATGTTTTGGGGAAAATGTGTACACTGGGTTGGTTGGAGGGTTTGGCTTTAAGGAATTCTTAACCTTGAGATTCTGTGACCAAGGGATATGAATATAAGCATGGAGAAGGAAAATTTTGGGAGAGAAGTGAGACCATATGTAGGTACTGGACTCTCTGTTAGCTAATTCTAACAGGGTTGACTATGTCATAGATCTGAAATGTACAAATTTAAGTCAACTGTGTGTTTGACCTGAGAATCTGTCCTTGGCTGGATGGGACTTTGGGGTCTGCCTGCTTGCCCAGCCCCTCTGCTGGCCCTCAGCTGTAGGTGTGACTCTCCCGTGCCCTGTTCCTCTCACTCCACCCTTTTTATTCCGAGGTGATCTCATCTACACCCATACGCCAGTATTTACCTCTGCGCTGATGGCTCCCAGATCTGGAGCTTCCACTCAGTCTTCCCCCCTGGGCATCTGACCCATCTACCCCATTGCCTATTAAACGTGTCCACCTATGGGTTCCATGGGATGCACCTCCAATTCACCTTGCTCAGAACAGGGCTCAAGCTGGCTTCCCTAACCTGATCCCAGTGAATGACACCATCAGGTCACCAAGTCAGCAGTCTGAGTCCCCTGCCCACCACCTTCCCATGGCCCTTCAGTCGCCAAGCCCTGCCCACCTGGTGATCACTTCTGTGTCTGGCCCCTCCTCTCTACCCTGCTCCCTAGTGCAGACCTTCATCACCTCCAGCCTGGCCACTGCAGAGCCTCCACACTGGCCTCCCTGCCTCCGCTCTCCTCTGTGTTTCATCCATCCTCCACTTTGCGGTTAGAGAGACTCTTCTAAACTCCTATCTGACTGTGTCCCTCTCCTGCTTCACTGGCTCTCTGCTGCCTGGCAGATAATGTCCAGTTGACCCTTGTTCCTCTCCGCAGCCACGCTCCTCCCTGAACCCTGTGTTCTCGCCATACTCAATTGCTTGCAGCCCTCCGGCCCCCCGCGCCAATTACACCAGGTGGTTACATGCCTGTGCCTTTACTGAGATGGTGTCCTCTTAACCCCTCCTCCTGTTTTCCCATGGTCCTGGTGAAAACCTATTTCTTTTCTTTCGTTCTTTCTTTTTGTGGCCACACCACATGGCTTGTGGGATCTTAGTTCCCCGACCAGGGATCAAATCCGAGCCTGCTGCAGTGGAAGCATGGAGTCCTAACCATTGGACTGCCAGGGCCCCCAAACCTATTTATTTTAAAAGCTATTGGATACTCTATGAAGACTCCCTGATGCTCTTGGGTAGAGGTGGCCATGGCCCACGTTGTGTCCTCCCTCTTCACACTCTTCTGGGTCAGAACCAAACATACCCAAGGTACTTAGTGCACTTTCCCTTCTCTGATGAGGTCCTGAAGCCAGGACCCACGTTTCCTATGGAAAGAGGGAATGAAGGTCACAGAGCTGTGGGGCTGGAGTGCTGGATGAGACATCTCCATGAGCACCCACATTCCACAGGACGATGGTAGGAGTCAGGTGGCCAAGAGGAAGTGAGCCAGGGATGTAAATGCTTGGTGAATGTGGGTGAGTGACTTGGCAGTCGGTTTCAGCAGAGAGGGATGAGTGCAGGGCTTTGGATGGTGTAATGGTTGCTGGACTGGCCTTACAAGAGGAGGGCTAAGTTTGTGAGGGCAGGAAAATAATGATCGGAAGGTGAGGGGGAGAAGTTGGCAAAATGACTGACTCTGCTTCTCACATCCTGCCTGTGGATGAGGGAGAATGACCGGCCTCGTTCAGGTGGCCAGAAGACTTCGCATACCGTCTCTCTGCTGTACGCTGAGGATTCCCACATTTACGTCTCCAGCTTGGCGCTCTCCTCTGAGCTCCAGGATTAGGTATTCAACTACCTACTTGACTCTGCTACTTGGAGAACAAATCCAATTTAAATAGAATTGATTATTTTTTCTACTCAAATACACTTCCCTTCAGTCCTTCCCCCACTCAGAAAATGGCACCAGCCACTTAGGAGTTTTTCTTTCTTCTTCTTCCCCTCATTCCCTACATCTAATCTCTTAGTAAATCTTACTGGCCCTGCCCCGAAGGTATATTCCATATGTGTCTCTAATCCCAGTGCTTTCATTTTTACCTAGATTTTGTAACTGCTGTCCTACCTCTACCCTTGTTCCATTTAATTCATCTTCCAGACACAAATCATGTTACCATTCACCTTAAGATGCTCCAGATCTCTGTTTTACTCTTAGAATAAACTCCTTTACTAGGGTCTAAAGCTAAGTCAACTGGTAGGTAGGTACCAGTTTATTTATGACTGGCATCTCTTCTGATTAGTTAGTGCCCATGCTGCACAAGTGGTTAACTTTATTTTAAATATCACCCCTGCCTAGATATGCTCCATCCTCATTGGCTTTCGCTCTGTCCAAGGAGCATATCATGCTTTTTCCTACCTAATGGCGTTTGAACTAGCTGTCCCTTCAGGTTAGATGCTCTCCTCTGAGACCTTTGTTATTACACTCTCAACTGAAATATCTGTCCTCAGAAAGGCTGTCCTTGCCTCTATCGTCTACGAATGTACCGTCCAGTAATGGTAGCTACCAGTTAAGCATGACTATTTAAATTTAAATTAAATCAGTAATTCAGTTTCTCTGTCAAACTAGCTATATTTCAAGTACTCAACAACCACATGTGGCTAGTGGCTCTCATATTGGATAGCACAGATACAGAACATTTCCATCACCGACAGGAAGCTCTGTTGGACAGTGCTGGTCTAAGGCAACATCCTGTCCCAGTTGCCTTCTATAACTTTACTGTATATGGCCACCTTCCTAAGAGTTATCAGAGCCATAACACGATTTACGTGTCCTCCTTGTCTCTACCTACTAGCACGGAACCTCCTCAGGACAGGGCCTCTGCCTCGTTCACTTCTGTATCTCAGGACTGAAAACTGCCTGGTGTAAAGTAGGCACTCAATACATATTTGTTAGACGGACTAGTTTTCCAGGGATGAACTGTTTCCAAGTGGAGTGGATAATGGATTGGAGGTGTAAGGACCATGCTATGAAGAGGCGAAGATGGAGTTATGTTTTCCAACAACTGGAAGAGGGGGAGTGCAGGAAGAAAGTCCATGATAGAAGACGCACGTGTGGGAAGGAGCATTCGGAACAGGGTGGGTGACCTGAGGGCCCACCTTTTAGGAGGCAACTCTGGAGGGGCTCTGGAGAGCTGAAGGGGGTTGGGACTTGAGATGGTTGTACATAACTGCTCAGGACTCCAAATGGAATCGGTCTTCGTGCAGCCTCTGGGGCCTGGGGCACAGGTCAGGCCTTGACCATACTAAGGCCACTTCACATTGTTTTGTGATATCACAGAAAGCTTTGGACATTAGGATGGGGAGTCTTGCATTTGCTTTGGTTAAACGATGAGCAAGGGAGTTTTCAGAGCTGTGTTTTCTTGATTTAGTTAGTTTTGCTAACAGAATCTAAAAACTATGAAGGTTGTTTTGAGCACAGAGAGAATCTGTATAGGCAATCATAAATTGCAGCTGAGCAGAAATACCATTAAAGACCAGATTTGGAAAAGCGGCCGGATGTTACAGACCAGTGGCTGAGTAATGTCAGGGTATGTGATTCCAATTTCTCTTGATGAACATTTTGATGTTTCATTGCCTGCCCATTTAGCAATTAAAGCTTAATATATTTTGTGGTTTAATATATTTTAATGATTTTGTTATAGACTTATTATTAGGAAAGTCTTTTTATCATAATGAATTTTATCTTGCCAGAATTGAGAAGTCAATATGGCTGCTTATATTACTACAGTCCATAAACTAATGTCCAAATATGCAGTCTTGACAACCATATGATGCAGAGTTTTTAATATTTAAAGCAACACGAAACTTAATCTTATTTGTACTTTCATATTTTTAATTTTAATTGGTGACTATTAGAGATCTTAATTTATATTGATGTTATTATTGCTCCATCCATAGCAAATGAAATTATTCATGGGGGTTAAAAATAAAATTGGACTCAGCGTTGAAATCTATTTGTCTTTCCCTGTCCACAGGAGGGAAATAACAATCAGGTTCTAAGCATATTCTATTTCTTCTTTTTTTGAATTTTATTTTGTGAATATGTTACACATGCACATATACAAAATTTAAAAGGTTCAAAGGGTGGGAATTCCCTGGTGGTCCAGTGGTTAGAACTCTGTGCCTCCAATGCAGGGGGCACAGGTTCGATCCCTGGCCGGGGAACTAAGATCCCACAAGCCGTGTGGCACGGCCAAAAAAAAAAAAAAAAAGAAAAAAGGTTCAAAGGGTACACGAGGGAAAGTCAGTCTCTCTTGTATCCCTGTTCTCCATGCAGTTCCCCACTCCCAGGAGCCAACCACTGTGACCAGTTTCCTGTACATCCTTCCAGAAGCATTCTATAGTGTATACATATATATACAAGCAAATACATATATATTACATGTGATGGTTCACTTAATCCTCCTGAAAAACCCTAAATTAGGTACTATCATTTCCATTTTTCAGATGACGAAACTAAGGCGCCAGGGAAGTAATTTGCCCAAGGTCATGGAGCTGTGCTGTAGGTGGGATTCAAGCACAGGAGTGCCTGACTCCCGAGCCTGGGCTCATTTTGCTGTATCACCCACCCTCCCATACCAGCGTGTTAAATTCTGGGAAGGAACAAAGTCCTGTGCAAGAGAGACAGGCCCCAAATTCAGAAGCTCAGAAATGTGTTTTTCAAAGTTAGGGTGTAGAACTGTCTGGAGGAGGCAGGGTCAACTGGGAGGCGAGAGCCAACAAGAAGTATGAAGGCCTGAGCTGGGCTGGTGGTGACAGGAATGGAAAGGAGGGCGTGGAGAGTGAAAAGGCAGACTCGATGGGCCATAGAAGCAATTAGAAGATCAGAGAAGGGAAATCAAAGGTGTGATGCTCTGGTTCTGAGCCGAGTGAGTGAGGGAATGGTGGCGCCCTGAAAAGAAACCGGAAGTTGGGCAGGACTTGAATTGTGGAGACTAGTTTAGCTACAGACGTTAGGTTGTGGGCATGGGAGAGTGTCTCCCCAAGCGGGTGGAGATGTGGGTCTGGATGGCAGGGCTGGGGCAAGGGTTGGGTAGAGGTTAGATGTAGGAGTCATAGGTGGAAGGGTCAGTCGGCAGCCAAAGTGGGGAGGAAAGCGATTCCTCACGAGCAGGGGGTGGGTAGAGGCAGAAGGGGGAAGGCTTGGAGACAGGAGGAGGGGGAGGAAAGAGTGAAAGGCAGAGAGATGGGAGAGGTAAGGGAAGGCCAGGACGGTATGGTGCCAGGAAAGTCCATGAAAGGTGACAGTTTCATGCAGCAGGAGGGCAGCCTCCTGACACCTCAGACACTGGAGAAGTCAAGATGATAAAGGCTTGAGAAAAGGTTTTGGAATTGAGATCAGGCAGGTGGCCTGGGGAAGCAAGGGAAGAAGCCACATTTTAAAGAAATACATAAGGTAACTGGGAGGGAATGGTGGCATCACCGTCTTCCCTGGTCCATTGAAAAGCTGCTGCGATTTGCTATGAGCATGGAGCCAAACACCGAGGATGCTGCTAACTGGGCAGAATCCCAGCCTTATCTGCCCTGAGGACTTGCACCCTGTCTCCCCAGGACAGCAGCGGCAGGGTGCTCCCAGGCCGCCCACTCACTCACCCTGATGTGCAGGTCCTGGAAGAAGATAAGGAGCGTCTGCCGGATCAGCTGGAACTCCCCCGCAGAGAGACCCCCATATATCTGCGGAGGCAAAGCAGACAGAGGCATTCCACTTTCAGAAGTGAGATGGAAAGTGCGGACAGGCGGGGGTGGGTGGGTGCCCACGGATGGGAGCCAGAGAGCAAGGAGAGGACTCAGCTGCTGGGCAGGCGGGGCAGGAGGGCCAGCACTGCACCCTCGCCTGAGGGACAAGCCCCACGGTGGCACACCGAGCAGCATGCACTTTACCTCCCCCGTTCCCCAAGATTCTATAGAACATCCACCACCAACTCCCTTTCAGAAAAGTTAGGCAAGAACAGCTATGCTCTGTATCATTGCTTCCCCAATTATGAAGGCAACAGTGAGAGGGTATAAGATGATAATGTCTCTTGTGTTTCCAAAATGGATACCTGTAGATTTTGAGAGTTTTCTGGGAGAGGCAGGTTTTGTCATTCCTCACCCTGTTCTCTTTGTCATAGAATCTGCCTGTCCTTAACAGAGGAATGAGAACGAGTATTGGGGCTGAGAGGTGATAAACTGACGATACGCTTACTTCAGTCAGCTGCTGGAAAGTCTCATCCACTTGATGCAGGATGGTTGGGGAGTCTTGGATGAATCCCTTGATGGCATCTAAATGATTGAAAGTGACCAGCAACACATCCTTGGGACGAGGACACAGCAATACTTGATATTTGAAAGCCATTGTCATCAGGTCATAGAGCTGCCAACCCATACATGAATAAAAGAAACAGGACCATAAAGGCAGACATCAGAACCTCAAACGATGATTCAGTCGGCACTTACCGGAAACCAATTCTGAGCTTATCATGCAGCTCAGTGACCATATCTAGTCATCACTCAAACCAAGACACTGTTGAAGTAAAAAGGGGTGATAGTAATAATTAAGCTGGGACAACAGGAGTAAACCGGGATGTTCCTGGGCAAACCAGGATTTCTGGCCAGCTTACATGTATTGTTGATGGACCACACGTGAAACAGTACGGGCAGCTGGGGGGCCCTGGACAAGGTGCTGGACGTGGAGAATGAAAACCCAAATTCAAGCCCTCCTTGCTGCTAACTTGTTGGATGGCCCTGGCCAAGTCTCTTCGCCTCTCTAAGCCTGAGTTTTATCATGCGTAAAAAATATTCCTGGGACTCCCCTGGTGGTCCAGTGATTAAGAATCCTCCTTCCAATGCAGGGGACACGGGTGTGATCCCTGGTTGGGGAACTAAGATCCCACATGCCACGGGGCAACTAAGCCTGCACGCCAGATCTACTGAGTCCGTGCACTCTAGAGCCCATGTGCCACACTAGAGAGCCCGTGCGCCACAACTACTGAGCCTGTGTGCCACAACTACTGAGCCCGTGCGCTCTGGAGCCTGTGCGTCACAACTAGAGAGCCCATGTGCTGCAACTACCGAGCCCGTGTGCTCTGGAGCCTGCATGCCACAACCAGAGAGCCCGGACACTGCAACTACTGAGCCCGCACGCTCTGGAGCCCGCGCACCGCAACTGCTGAGCTCGTGCGCTCTAGAGCCACAACTAAAGAGAAGCCCGTGTGCTGCAACGAAGATCCTACATGCCACAACTAAGACCCGATACAGCCAAATAAATAAATAAATATTAAAAAAAAATACTCCCTAATTTCCCAACATTGCAGAACAGCTGAGAGGAGTAAATGAGAAAACACATGTGAAAGTGGCAAGAATGAAGTTCCACGCTGTATGAGATGAAAAATGAAACTTAGTAAGAGATCAACAAGCCCCAAGTATGGTATGACCACTTGTGAAGATCAGAGGTGAGACACTGGTGAGGACCAAAGTGGTCACGATAGGCTTTGTGGAAGAACTGGGCCTGCTACAGACTCAAGGCAAGGTTCCAGCTGGCTGAGGGAGGGGAAAGGCATTCTAGTGGAGGGGAACAGCATGCGTGAGGGTCTGGAGGCAGCTATAGCCATGCTATTTTCCTGGGAGAAAGAGTAGAGCAGCCTGACTGGAGGGGATGGTTTGTGTTCGGGGTGGTGGGAAATAAAGGTGGGTACGGCAAGGTTGGAATGTTAGAGGTTTTAGAAAGATGGACAAGATAATTTAGACTAGATGTGGTAGGAATTAGGGGGCTACTGAAATGCTCTGTGCTGGTGTGATAAAAGTAGTAATTAAGTGAGATTGGTGACTCTGGCCATGATGAGATGCGAGAGAAGGGAGAGACTGGAGTGGGGAGGATTAGCTGGTGCCTGGCTCCTAAGAGGGTGGCAATAACATCTACTGATTGTATGAATGAAAGAAATTTTGTTGGAGTGACCCAGATGGAAGGCCTGGAATAAAGATGGTGGGGATGGATAAGGAAGGGAAAAGAAGAGCATGTGACACTCAGGAGGAAAGCTGTCAGTACATGGTGCTCGCCTGACTGGATTCGGGAGACGATCTGAGGGCTGTCCAAAAGGACCACAGCATTTCCAACTTAGTGCCTGGGAGATACATGATGCTACGACGGAGGGAGGGGAGTTTGGGAGAGAAGGTATGGACACATCTGAGGTGGGCTTGTGAATTAAACTACAGCCACCTGAATGCTGTGCGAGCACGTGGATATGCATGGCCTCAACTGACCCCTTTAACTTCACAAGAACTCTATGAGGTACGTATTATCCCAAGTTTAAAAATGAAGAAGCTTGCCTAATTTCACATAGCTGGTACTTAGTAGTAGGGTGAGATTTGCAACTAAAGACGGTCAGATCCTGAAGCACGTGCTAGAACCCTCTACACGATCCCCTTTCTCCAACATGCAGATAAACATCTCGCTTAGAAGGTGGCATACAGCAGGAGCAGCCTGGTTGTGTGTGTGTGTGTGTGTGTGTGTGTGTGTGTGTGTGTGTGTGTGCGCGCGCGCATGCACGCACACGCAGGTGTGTCTGATACTGGAGATGTAGATTTAAGACTCTCCATCATCACCATCAAACACTAAGTACCTGGGACGTCCCTGGTGGCGCACTTGTTAAGAATCCACCTGCCAATGCAGGGGACATGGGTTCGATCACTGGTCCAGGAAGATCCCACATGCCGCGGACCAACTAAGCCCGTGAGCCACAACTACTGAAGCCTGTGCGCCTAGAGCCCGTGCTCTGCAACAAGAGAAGCCACCGCAGTGAGAAGCCCGCACACCGCAACGAAGAGGAGCCCCTGCTCGCCGCATCTAGAGAAAGCCCACACGCAGCATCTAGAGAAAGCCCGCACGCAGCAACGAAGACCCAACGCAGCCATAAATAAACAAATAAATAAATTTATAAAAACCAAAAAACATTAAGTACTTGTTGTGTACAGGGCACTGTGCTAGGAATAAAGGATAAAAACAGGTATAGGATGAAGGAATGAAAGTTCAGATGAGTTATTCAGTCAATTGTGTCTCAGAGCTATTGGTAGAAAGAAGACTTGAACCCAGGGTTTTTTATTCCAAGTTCTGTGTCCTTTCTCAGTGGAAACCTAAACTTTCTTAAAGGCAGAGGGAGAGGAACAAGCAGAGAAGAGAAGATACCGAACATTTATCGAACATCTATGTGCCAGGCCTTCTTGTGTCATTATTATCTATGTTTCTCACTTAATCGTCCCACTAACTGATGAAGTAGCTATTATTATCCCCATCTTATAGATGAGAAAATGGAGGCTCAGGGAAAGCAAGTAACTTTCTTAAGGTAAGTGGCAGAAAGTAAGAGGGCATAGTTAAAGGCAGTCTGTCTCTCTGAGGTTTCCAGGTACCAGCAGTGAGACACTGTTGATTTTTGCACACCTGGCACCCACTGTCAGTCCTCATGATTTATAAAAATTCACATAATGAAGGGACTTGAAAAGGAACTATTATTATCATTATTTTAAAAACTAACTGAAGTCCATGTATTATTCAGATTTTATTAGTTTACCCTAATGTCTTATTTCTGTTCCAGGATCGCACATTATATTTAGTCATCATGTCTCCTTAGGCTTCTTTTGGCTGTGACAGTTTCTCTGGCTTTCCTTGTTTTTGGTGGCCTTGACAGCTTTGACGACTGGTCAGGTATTTTGTAACATGACCCCCGAATGGTATTTGTCTGATGTTTTTTTCATGATCAGCCTGGGGTTGTGGGTTTTTGGGAGGAAGATCACAGAGGCAAAGTGTTATCCTCATTGCATCATATCAGGGTACCACCACATGGCTTATCACTATTGATGTTATCACCTGGTTGAGGTAATATTTGCCATGTTTTTCCACTGAGAAGTTAGCTGTTTTCCCCCTCCTTTCCATACTGTCTTCTTTGGAAGGAAGTCACCAAGTGCAGCTACATTCAAGCAGTGGGGAGTTATGCTCTCTATTCCTGAGGGCAGAGTATCTATGTAAGTGTTTGGAATTCTTATGAACAGGAGATTTATCTATTCTCTGCCATTATTTATTTGGAATTATTCCTTTTAAAATTAGAGTACCCAAAAATTGGTTTCGCAAAGAAACAGATATGTATATATTATAAA